ACAATTAGCTGTACTTGCAGAAGTGCAAAGATCGGTTGCAACGTGTTGGAAACCTCTTAACTCCTCATTTAGTGTCTGGGAGCTGACGTACCTGGATGTTATACTTAGTGTTGTCGACTGCTTGGAATCAATACATACTATACATTGTCACTCTATAACAGAATCTGGGGGTGTAACCAAAATATAAAATAACTTTGATGGTTATCTCACTTTTTTTGAGTGACAGTTATGGGACGATGGATTTTGAAAGCTAAAATGTATAGTGTAACTATATCACAAGTAGAGAAGATACTTTAAATTTCAAAGATATATATAAGTAATGTTTGCTAACACTGGCTAGCATTAGCAATCATAAGCTACTGGTCATTAGATGAAAAGTAAAGCTGTAGCAGTAAAACCTCTGAGTGGACTGACTTGAGCAAAGTGTGTGTTTTATTGAGTAAGAGGAGGCTTGTGTTATCTCTTATCTCAAGTTACATAGAATCACTCTGAGGTCATGCCTCAGCTGTAATGTATGACAGACGTTATATGAAAATGAGAAAAATTGTTATGCGGCCAGTATTGTAGCAAAATTATTTGTGTGCATGTGCCTAGAGTTGTGTGACTATATCTTAATCCATGTGTGTTATCAGATTGTAAATGTGTAAAACATTGTGCAATTGTGTGCTGAAGTATGGCAAGAAAAGAGGCCATCTTTCTTCCCCTTTTTCAAGTAGGATATTGCACTCGCTTAAGAAAAAAATGTGCTCAGATTTTCTATGTCAATTCAATTATTCAACTATTTCTCTAATGCAATTATTTATCAGATTTCTGAGAGACGTTTTTAGTAGAAACAAAATTCAGCCTGCCAAAAACTAACAATGAGACACAAATATCGCCCAATGTCTCCAACCCAAAACAAAATAAACATGGAACAAACTGAACCGGTAGGACATGTTTGCATTAACATTTTCAAAGGCTCTATTTGCAGACTGTTTTTCAAATCTGATTACACATGCATGGTTTGAGATACAGTTACACATCGCTACACACAATTACACACAAGTAAAATTGCTACAATACTGTCCCCATAGGTTGTTGCTTTAAACCTCCACTTGCATAACACTGTAGTAATGGCTGAAGCTTCAATGTCAGTGTCACAGACTCGGGTTTGAAGTGGCTGCTCGCAACACCACTGGGTTTTTTAGACTAAATGTCCGTTGTTATCCTAAACCCTGGAGCCACGTTCATGCAAACACACCCCATGAATGTCGTTGATGTCATCACGTACCCCTTGGGCAAGAACATAGAGGTGAGAGCTTGTGTTGTGTTATCCGGAGAAGGATAACAGCAGACATTTAGGCTAAAAACATGGTGTCAATGATCTTGTTTTAAGTTGAATTTGAATGTCTGGGCTTTCAGACACATGGATGACACCACAGGAGCAGTGTGGAGGCATTTGATGTTTTTTCTATTGTTGTTGAAGAAGTCAGCAGTTACTTCAATTGGATTGGATTTGGCTGCAACGCTGTTTACCCCTGAAACTCAAAAATGTTTTGTGGACTCAAACACTTCACCTACCTAGTTAATGGGTGAATTTTTGTGTGAACTATCCCTTTAACCATCACTACTAAATACATAACCCTAACCTAAACCTCATTCTAACCCTAACCTTAAAACCCTAGTCTTAACCCTCAGACAACCCTTTAAATTTGCGAGGACCGGATAAAATGTTCTCTTAATGATGGCACTGAACCAAAGGTTGTCCTCATAACTATAGATACACACACACACACACACACACTTGAAACTTGTCTGACTTTTGTCCTAAAATAAGCCAGCCGCCCAACAATCCCAGCAGTCACACAGCAGCAGCACAATCAACAAAGCCATCACTGTGCTGCACTCAGAGAGGAAAAGTCTGTTTACCACCATTTCACTGCACACCAGGAAATGGGTGAAGTTTTCTTGTGTTGAAATAAGGGACTGTTAATAATTTCAGCCAGTTTGTTGAAACAGTCAGAGACCCTGCTTTTCTTCACAAGGGGGATAATCCTGTCCTTTACATTCATTGGATCAAATCACAGGGGCACTGTACAATAGACAATACATTTCAGGCATAGTGAAATGATATCAACATTTCCTGTAACTTTAGAAAACTCTTTGCAGGAAGAATACAAAATTAAAAAAGCTACGGTATAAATATTTCCATTAGAAAATATGGTCTTCTGCACTGAAGGATTCTTTCAGTTACGCTGTGATGACACTGTGAGTTTCTGAGAGACATTTGAACAGAAGGGAATAGACAGTGAAAGGCAGTCATGAGTTGAGTTGCATGTAAAGTTTGATGAAGTGTTGAGTTGTGCTGACAAACCTTTATCCTGTTGACACTGGCCTCCAGACGAAGCTGCTTCACTGCCTTCTGGGCCAGGACTAAACTGCTGTTAGGGGCGCTGTTGTTTGACATGACTGAGCCAGAAGAGCAGGGAGAGTGATCGAGCCGTCAGCCGCACTCATCCTCCCCTCAGTCCCTGGCTGCGGTAGCA